TGGAAGCCACCAGACTCCCAAGATGTCTGCATTGCCATAATGCTCCTCTGCTCTGCTATGAATTTGCACATGGTCTCCTGCCAACTTTTTTCTTAAAACCCACTCCCAATTTCTCTCTGCATTATGTTCCTTAGAGCACTGCTTTGCATAAGAGTCTATTTCCTGGGAAAGCTCAACAGGGGGAAAAAAGAACAAAAGGGGCTCTGATCGCTTAAGCTGAGTGGAACTGGCAGGGTAGGGGGAGATGAGGGAGTGGGGCGCCCTCTTTTGGATGAGGCTATGTTTGAAGGCTCCTCAGTGATGGGCTGAATTCTCCTATGACGACAGCCCAAGGCCTGACAGATCAGGGAAGAGCTTTATGAATGAGGTGAATAGGCTAAGTGCTTCTCCATCCTTGCCACTCACATCTCTCCATTTTGGTACAAACTCCCATGGCCTGCCTGGTCCCGGGGAGTGTGGCCACCTTGTTTCCCTCCGTTCCCAGAGGATGCTGGAGGGCCTTTCGGCCAGTTGCCTCCTCTCCTGCCTGCTTGTGCTGTGGATGTTAAACTGGAGTAGAGGGGCTATGGCATGAAAGCTTTGAAAGTGAACTATCTGCATGGGGTTCCTACTCTAGGAGTTTTCCCCTTGCTTCCTCAGATCCTTTTGGGTTTCTAGTTTGCAGGCCACTGCTAGCAGGAAAACATGTAGGGCATTGTGTGTGTGTATATGTGTGTGTGGTGACTATGTACCCATGTGTGCCTAGTGTGTGGGGCTGTACGTTACTATAAGATGGATGGTTGCATTGTTGGTGAAATTTGGGGCTTGGGCCTCAGCAAAGTACCATAGGGGAGTAGAGGGCTGATGACAAGAGGTCATCTCTTTAGGAATGTCTAGGCTCTCAGATGTGCCTGAGGTGCTGGGCTGCCAAGTACCCAAGCTCACAGCGATGTGCTCACAAATGACCAGTAGATGGCGCTCTAACAACACGAAACTATGACCACTGTCCCTTGTGGGCTGGAAGGGACATGGAAAGGATTTTAGGAAACTGATTTCCAATCAGTTACGACCAATTGCTGATTTTCTCCATTTCCATTTGTGTATCTTTAAGAGGACAGTGGAACTAGGGACACGGGAAGGATAATGCCCACCAAGTTCCATTAAGAAGAGGACTACGGCAATGACGAGACTAGTCTCAGGTTTTTTCCTGAGGATCCTCTAGGGATCTTGAGGACAGTAGATGGGTTCCTAGTTCAGCATCCTCCCAGTGTGGTTCAAGGAGCATGTGGCCACTTATCAAATTCAACTTGAGGATGGTAAGCAGAGCATTCCCATAGGCTTAGCATGATTGTATAGTTTCCTCTCGATGATGGGACAGTTTGGGCACTATTACTGCCCAGAAGAAATTGGCCTGAGTATTAGAAAGAGCCAACAGTGAAAGGCAGATCTATTAAGAAGCTCCAAATCTGCCATTTGTTAGATGTGGGCAAAGTACTTAACATTTCTGAAGCTCCAATTTGTCCACCAAATTGTGGTCATAATACATATGTGGCCAGGCTGACCTCAGAGGTTTAGAGTGAGGTTTATGTAAACTGGAAACGAGGAAACACACAGTCATTGAAATTGTAGCCCTCTGGGGACTGGGAGTAGGGGGGAGTTGGAGAACATGAATGAAGTTCACAGATCTCAAAGGTCTCGGGAGCTGTGGCAGCGAGGTGGGGGTGAATATGAGAGTGTGCCTTTCTCCCAGCATTACTGCCCCGGGCCAAGTCCATTCCCAAAGCTGTTTATGCTGTCATGTTTGCCTCTGTCCTCCTGGACTGTGCCCTCCAGGAATTCTCAGCTTACAACTTCCCTCCAGAGGTGCTCACACTTCCCAGCACACTGTACATTATCCCCAACACAGGCATTTGTGACCCCTGCCTCCTCATAAGGCAGGAAGGTAAGCCTCAACTCCAGTGGATCCTCACATTTCCATGTATAACATCCTGTCTCGAGGATTCTAGGTATCTGAAGAATTACAGCAGCTGCAGAGAACACAGGACACTGTAGAGAGCAAAGGGAATTTGTACCAGATCTCTGCTGAGTGGGTGACATTGAAGAAAACAAGTCAAGGGTTCCTGATCTTCCAAAAATCTCTTCCAGGAGGTAAAAGATTGGTCATCCCTGCTTGCTCTGAGTATGAACAAGCAGGCCCGCCACCCTCTAGCCTGTTAAGACCAGGACACAAAGGAAAGGGGTGAAGTTCCAGCACAAGAATGAGATCCATCAGGCATTCCAGCCAGTAAAGTTATAGAATCTAATTCAGTCTAGGAAGTGGATACATAATTTTTGTCATCATCTGTGTTGTTCATTATTGTGTCCTCAGATCCTAAAACAGTGCCTGGTGCTCAGAAATATCTGTCAAATGATTTGAATGAATTTTGTGCTGTGTGTTATGGTCCTACCTCTGAAAGCATGGATTTGATCATTTCTGAAAGTCTTTTCTAATCCTATCTACTTTACAGGAATACTAAGACAGCCACTTGTGACTGGTTCTAAATGGCTGCCAGGCTGATGGGACCTCAGGGTTCATAGTACCACCTTCCCTTTCACTCTGACTAGGGATTCAGGCAGAAAGGACCCTCCAGCTAAGGGAGGCAGAAGGACAGAGTAAGGCTGGAATATGAAATCAAAATGCTAATTAGAGCTGACTCACCTCAAATAGTCATTTGGCTGAAAATGGACTCCCCTGAATGGAAAGTTCAACATTCCACACCCAAGGGCGGCAGTGCCTGCTGGGGGTGGATGTGTTGGGACCATTCCTTTGGTTTTCCAGCACCAGAGACCTTCCCTTCATACATACACCTCACACAGCAGCCCCGTGTCAGTGCTCACATGGCCTTGCCCACACACAGTCACATCCACGGAGGAACGCACGAGCCTCTCACTCAGACGTCACATCAGTTCCCTTCTCACCAGTTTCTCTGGTGCAGAGACACTGCCTTTCACACGCGCGAGGCCACACTCACCCCTGATTTCCAATCTCTGGTCAATCTCTTTGTTTCCTTTCTGTGCCCCTAGGCTGCGTTTCTCCCATTGCTCAGGTGGGAAGGATTTGGGTAGGACTTTGAGTTCAGGCCAAAGCAGGGGGCAGCTGATACCTGTCTTCAGTTCAAACCTCTGCTCCACCTGTGGGGAATGGCTTGGTTGCTAAACCCAGAGGAGTCCACCTTTCCCAGTTCTGCAGCTCAGATACGAATTGTTTTTTCCTTCACTAATGGGGTAGGTTTGAAGAAGTCAGTGGAGCTGACTTGAAGGTAAGATAGGGGTGGGAGGATCTCCTGGATTGTTAAGATTTTGAGAAGGGTAGTTTTAGCCCAGAACTCACCATCTAGGGCCCCAGTATTTATACCATCCTTCCGGAAAAGGACGCGCGCAAGGCTCTGCTAGAGCAGAACCCAAAAGGCCGCCCCAGATCTTATTTGGAGAAAGGAGGCAGAAGCTCCCGCCGGAGCTGGCTCCAGTGCCAGGCGCGGAGCCCCCAGAGGTCCTAGCGTCCTCACTGGGCCTCCAGGCTGTTAAGTGGGGACATGGGCAGAAGAGGGTGCTGCCTTCTCCGCGGAAATCGTGAGGAGGCGCTCTTGGAACCTGCGAGGTGCGGAGGAGCGGCAACCGTGCCCTGA